ACTTTGTGAATAATTACTGAAAATTTAAGATATATATATATATATATATATATATATATATATATATAGATATATATATATAAGCTTTATTTATACCTTAATAAGCATTTAGCATGTTTTCCTGAATTTTAAGAGATACAAATCTTTACTACATATTTACAATCATTTTATGCACTAAGAAATATCCGGTCAAACGTTTGACAAAGTCAAGAAAGCTCTTATCGACCGCTTTATTGTTTTGACCTGTATCCCAACGTTTCCCCATATCTCGGTAGTTTTGTTCATTGTTCATATAAATACACAATCATATAGAAGCTCACCGTCACTTCCTCTTCACATTAATCTGGAATGGGTCTCTCTAGAAACCCTAGCCGTCGACCTTTATCTCGTATCTTCCCATTACATGCCACCTCCATCATCTCCACCGGTTGACCATCTATCATCGCCCATCGCCCTTTATACGCCGTCATCCTCACAATCTCTTCCATCTATTACCATCACCGCTTTCACCCAAAACTTTCACCCTAAATACCACCACCAACGGATCATTCTCCTCCACATTCGATACAATGACAAACCCTGGCCACCACGATCTTCAAACTCCTTCATCGAAGACCATCACAAGCCATCATCCGCTCTGCTAACGACCATAACAATCACGATCTGGTGGTAGAGAATCGGCACTTGGTCTACACATATACGGTAAGATGACTGATTACACAGGTATGCTCTTGATTTTCTGGTTTGGCGAGTTGGCTATCCCCGTTCTGGCAGAGGTCGAACTCCACAGAGAAAAAAGTTCAAAATCGAGAGCAGATATGTATAACAAAAAACCATGAAATCAGTCCAACGACTCTTATCTCCTCATCTCCTGGTACATTTAAAAGACTCCTTTATTTGGTTTGATTAATAATTTGCTTTCTTGATTACTTGATCTCTCTCTCTCCCTCTCTCTCTTTCTCTCTCTCTCTCTAACATGTGGTAGTTTTTCTATGCGATTGTAATCTAGGGTTTTGAATATGAATGTTTTTTTATTTTCAGATTTTGCTTGGATAAAAACCTGCAATAGAGTTCAGACCACTTTAGAAGGTAACTGTCAAATGTTACCCTTTGTTTTTTTTATGGGAAACTGCAAGAAACCTAACCACATAAGGTTGGTGTTAGTGTACAACTATGTTACATATTCTGTTTTTTTTACTTAAGGTAAGTATAAGATACACAACAAAACATCATCTCCTTCTCTCTCCACCCTGCTATTCTTTCTTGGCATTTATTAATTTTTCCCTTTCTCTCTGTACTGCACTCGGAGGAGCCAAAATATATGTCCTTTTTAATCCCAACCCAGGTATACTAAAACAGTCAAACCATAGCCCTAAGTAAATGATATCTTGATTTGGTCATCATTTTTGTTTAAAAAACTTTCTGATCTTTTGGTTAAAAGTTTACTCAAAGTTGATTCAACTTTGAAACTATTTGGTGTTATACATGATAAGTGATCTTGTTTGCTATTTCTATCACAATTTTTGTAAACTTTAAGTTAATATTGTTTTTGTTTATGTAACTATGAATGATACATAAATCAAATAATGACATAACACCGGTTTGTATTGGGTTGACGGAGAATCTATTATGATCAAAATGATGGTGAAACTTTAATTTTCCAGTGATAGTGAAGAGGAAGCAATTGATGAAGAAGAGGAAAAGAAAGAGTTAATTGAGTCTGAAGATTACATCATCAGGTTAATGTGTCTCAAATTATTTACTCTTCTGATCCCATCAACTCATTTTTTTTTGGATACCAACACATGTTCATGATTTTTTTTTATAATTTCAGATTGACCATTCAACAACTTGGCTCATCTGATGTTGTTTTTGTTTTACTAGGACAATAGTTGTCCACAAAGCCTTCTGAACTCGAGGTAAGAACTTGTATACCTTGCATTTTGTTTTGTTTATGCTCTCTGCTTCGTTTTCTTTTTGATTATTTTTATGAAATTTAGGGACTTTGTTTCTACATGCAATATATTATGTCCTTTTTAATAGGGATGTTGAAGTCCCTAAACCAGGAAATGTGGAATTTGATATGACTTGATTGTTTGATAAAGATCTTGAAGTAGCCCTAGACTCATTTGACAACCTATTTTGTTGCAAATGTCTTGTAAGCATTGTTATTTTTCATGTTTTCTTCTCGAATTTAGTGATCAATGTGGCATTCATGTATTTGACAACCTATTTAATAATATGGAAATCAAATATATGATCCCAAATAAATACCATCAACCCAAAACAGACTAATTAATTACTTTTTTTCTTCTTTCATATGACCTGACCTGGATTTCTTCTGTACACTTGTATTCACATTTACAGTAATACTAAAATGATCATCTGTCGGATTTGGTTAGTATATAAATAATAATAATAATAATAATAATGCACATCTCCACTCCGCTTCCATCCACTTATGCATGGATCTTAAGAACCGCCTCACCTGTAACAAAAAAAAAGCATCATTGTCAAAGGGTAAAAAGGTAAATTTACACAAACTTACAAGAAAATTAAAGTATAATGCTATAAGGAATGAAGTAAGTTTACCATGCATTCTCTTAACAAATGCTATTATTGTACAAACAATAAACTAAAAATAAATAGGTTCAAATTTGAATCAAATTTCTAAATAAATAACTTTCTTATTGGTTTATTCAATATTTAGCTACTGCAAATCAATAGTTTTTGAATCAAAATTCTAAATAAATAAGTATTCTTTACTTTTTCAATTTCATTTTTAATCTTATTCGATTTGTCAATATTAGGTTCAATCTAATGTTTTATCTGTGATCCTGACGACATGAAGAGGCATTGAGAAATAGAAATTATTGTGATGGACAGAGTATTCCAATGTATTTAATTGAGGTATATAACTTTTAAGTCCTATGTCTTTTATTTCAATCTCTTTGATTAATTCTCTTATCTATTTTGAGATTCAACATAATTATGACTTATTTTAGTTTTTTTAGAGGACAAAAATGTCAAAGTTAGATTATTATGATTTTAACCATATTTCTGAATTCTGATGCACTGATTAATGTATGCATTTGTTGACTCCATACCTTCCTAATTTAGCTATGTTTAAACTAATGAATATAATCATTTTGATTAATATATGCATTTGTTGTATATATTCAGTTATGTCTTCTATATTATGATTGACATTATGGATTAATGTATGTAATTTTCCTTAGGTTTTCTTACACAAGATGGAGTCAACAAAGTCAAATTTCTAAAAATCGAACGAACATACCTTGCAATTAGAGCCATATGGTGAATAATTCATCTTTGTTTGATTCCATTCTTCTGTTTCTTTGCCTCTCTCAATTGGAGACCATTTGTGACCTTTTTCCCATGATGGGGATGATGGGGTCTTTCATGAGAGACATATGTCATTTTAAATGGTGTTGTATTTCCTGTTTTAGAAAATCATATTTTTTAAATCTTTTTTGTACTTGGTCCAACCTCTTGCCGGTTTTCTTTTAAGAATGTATTTTCCTGTTAAAAAGTTATTTATATAGTAACATAACAGTGGAGATTGTTAGCAATTTGCATATCACTAACACCCCCCCCCCCCCCCCCCCCCTAAAAAAACGTTATGTGATTTTAGTATTGTTGTTTTGTGTATGTGATCATTTTAGTTCGTTATACTATCTTTTCTTTTATGGTGTTGTTTATAGTTTATGGTGTTGTGCGCTGGTTAGCTTGTATTCATGACAAATAACAATAAATTAGGAAAACAAAAAAAAGTTAAAGCTTTCTATATCTTAACAAGTTATGGGTTGTAATGATTGCTCATCCTGTTACCGCTTCAACTATTTAATTCATTTAATTTTTGCGGTAGTGCATAATAACAAAAGAATGAAATTAATGTGCATTTAGGTGATCAGTTCTTGAATTACTAAAAAAAAGTGTTTTTTTGTTACTTTTAACCATGTAGGATATAAAAAATTTTACTTTTATAATATTGGAATAATTCAAAAACATTAATGGCAAAAAATGACTTATTAATGGAATAAACTTAAAATATTGTTGATTTAATTAAAAGTGGATACATTTTGTGAAAATAAAAGTTTATTGTTTTCTAAATGTATTCTAAACATTCATTGTGTAAAAGAAACTAATCGTTTGTAGAAACTAATTTCTGAAAAAACAATATCCACCTGTCGTTTGACGCGGGTAAACGGCTAGTATATATATATATATATATATATATATATATATATATAGATATATATATATATAGATATAGATAATATATATATATATATAGATATATATATATATAATCACATGTGTGTTAAATAATAAATCACTAAGTATATTATACATATTAATCACCGAGTTGGCTGAGTTTTACAACATTGCTTGCTTCAGTAAGATGTCGATCGGGGAGTACTCGGATTGTGTAACTCGTCTCGGTAAGATGTCGAGTAGGGAGTACTCAGCCGAACAATTGGCCAACTCGACGAGTTTTAAGACACTGGGAGATGTGGTGTAAGAAGGGTATGCAATATGCACTTGCATATTAGGATTGGATATTATATAAGAATCAGCTTATCAATTATCAACTTAGTTTATATCATTTTAAATTATAATAAACTAAAAATGCATCCTATTTTATATCCGGAAAACATAGATTTAATATATAACTAACCCCTTAGGAAGTTCACTTTCCTTTAATATATATATATATATATATATTATATATATATATATATATATATATATATATTAATTAAAATATTTTTAAAAGTTCAAATCTAAGAAAAATAATCCAAATATCAAAAAAGATTACGTTAACCTTTTTCCTTCAAGAAGATTACATCGATAATTCTCTCTCCTCTCCTCTCTCTCTCTCTGCAATAACTGCAGTTCCTACTACTATTCCTAGTTGCCTTCTGATCTCTGAGACAAAACCCATTTGCTCTCTCTCTCTCTCTCTATATATATATATATATATATATATATATATATATATGTTACTCATGCAAAGACTGCAACTTTTGGATCTCTCTCTAGTGTGTTCACCATGGAAGAAAGAGACAACAAGAAATACACAGCAAAAACAAAGAGTTTCAGAGGAAGAACACATAATAACCCTCCACACCAACACTTTTATCATCATCATCTTCATCCGCACTATCTTTTGCAGCATTCCAACAGAAATTTCGGTTTTCTTAATCAAAATCTGTACCACTCTCCTTCACCCCCTCTTCTTCCTCTGCCTCCACCTCAATACGCCATAGCTCCATCTCTACATCTACCTCTACCTCTGAATCATGCCTTCACACCAAAACCCCATTTGCAGAAACCGCCATGGAAGCAGAATCATCTTCTTCCACCTCTTGTTGCTACTTCTGATTCACATCTATCTCATCAAACAGGTAGACAAAACCCACTTTTTGTTTTGTTCTTTCGGTTATATTATTTGATCTTTTTGCTAACTTTTAAGCACTTGTCTTTACATGGTTTTGGGTTTTTATCAATGCCCCCAAATGAGCTCTTGTTGTTTCTTTTCTTTTCAATTATTTATTTCTTATCGAACTCCGACAAGGGTTTTGATTGATTTGTCAAGCATTGGTGTAAACATGTGTTCAAGATTCCGTATTTTTTGTTTCTTGTTTTCAAGAAAATGAATTCTTGATTTTTTCAAGTTTTAATGTTTGTAAATTAGAGAATCATTTGTTAAAACGAGACAGAATCTTATCCCTTGCATTCAGTTTTGTTGTTGAATGTTGTTTTTTTTGCCGGATTTTAATTTCCAATTTTCTTTTTCCATCACAACAAGCATATCATGATCACTTGACAGTATTTCTAAGAACAATTTGGTATCAAAAACCTGAAACTTAAATCAAATGTGACGCTAATGTTCTAAATATATATTTGTAATTTTGTAATCAAAACAGCTCTAGAGGTGATTCCAAGAACAATTAACTCATCCATGGGAGCAAAGAAAGACGAACTGAGACCTGTTAGGGATACAGCACTACCAGAACCTCCATTAACGGTGGCAAGAAGGCCGGATTCCGGTGGCTCAGAGGGAACAATTATCTCACTTTTAGCCAATCATTTCCTTGTAAAATTCGACCCTTCACAGCTAATTTACCACTACGATGTCGACATCTCTCCGAAACCTTCAAAGGATATTGCTCGATTGATCAAACAAAAACTCGTCGAACAAAACCCCGCCATTTTATCCGGTGCCAATCCTAGCTACGATGGCCGGAGAAACCTTTTTAGCCCAATCGAGTTTCAAAAAGACAAACTTGAACTCTTCATTAACATCCCAATTCCAATGGGTAATCCTTCGATTCCTCTAAATTGTGAAGAGAATCAAGAAAAATCCAAGCTTTTTAGGGTAAACATCAAGATTGTATCGAAACTAAACGGCAAAGAACTAAGCAAATACTTGAGTAAAGAAGACAACGATTCAATCCCACTTCCACAAGACTATCTACAAGCTTTAGATGTTGTTCTTCGTGAAAACCCTTTGTCAGAATGCATCCCATTAGGGCGTTCACTTTACTCGACCTCCATGGGAGGCGCTAAAGACATAGGAGGTGGCGCAATTGGACTTCGAGGTTTTTTTCAAAGTCTCCGACCAACACAACAAGGGCTTGCGCTCAATGTAGACTTAACAGTCACCGCTTTTCATGAAAGCATTGGAGTGATCCCGTATTTGCAGAAGCGTCTTTCTTTCCTGAATGATCTTTCTGAGAGAAAAACAAGAGAGTTGACGATTGAAGAGAAGAAAGAAGTTGAAAAGGCGTTGAAGAACATTAGGGTGTTCGTTTGTCACCGTGATACTGTTCAAAGATACAAAGTTCACAGTTTGACAGATGAATCCACTGAGAATCTTTGGTTTCGTGATCGAAATGGGAATAATTTATGGGTTGTGAGCTACTTTAAAGAACAGTATAACTATGATATACAATACAGGAACTTGCCATGTTTGCAGACTAGTAGAAGACGACCATGTTATCTTCCGATGGAGCTTTGTGTCGTTTGTGAAGGCCAAAAATTTCTCGGAAAACTTTCCGATGATCAAACTGCAAAAATTCTGAAATTGGGTTGCCAAAAACCAAGAGAACGAAAAGCGATCATTGATGGTGTCATGGCTGGACCCTTCGGTCCATCAAGGTAACCCTTTTCTTTCATTAATTATTCAATATTCAATTATTCATAGCTGATTCTTGTAAATGTTTTTCAAACCTTTTCAATTTGAAAAGCAATGAAAAAGCTTCTTACTTTTTTAAAAAATAAAAAAACTTTTTCAAAGTGTAAGTCTACAAGCTTGACCATATAAGCTTTTTCATATTTTTTATTCTTTTATTCTCTTAGTTTATTTATTACAAGTAAAAATCATTATTTTCTTATATAATGTAAAATATAGATATAAAATTTTCTAAAATTATAATATGTAGAAATATAATAATATAATAACCATTTATTATTATTATTATTATTATTATTATTATTTAGTACTAAATAAAAAAAGTAAATTTATTGTAAATTTTACTGATTTGTATGGAAAAATAAAAAAGGTCATAAATTGAAATTGGTAAAACTCATAAATAAAGCTTTTTGAAATAACTGTACTATACATGGAAGTACGAAAGACTTTAGTATTATCACTTATCGAGTGTTTTGATATATCGTGTTTTTTCAATCGTTGAAACAGTGGAAAGCAAGCAGGCGACTTCAATCTTCATATTTTGAAGGAGATGACAAGATTAAATGGGCGAATTCTTCGACCTCCAAAGCTTAAACTTGGAGATGGTGGAGAAGTAAGAGATTTGATTCCTTCACGCCATGATCGCCAATGGAACTTTTCAGGTAGCCAAGTTTTTGAAGGAAGCCGGATTGGGAGATGGGCTTTAATTAGTTTCGGTGGGACTGATGAACAAAAGCGAATCATCCCCAAATTTATAGACCAATTAACTCAAAGATGTCAACAATTAGGAATCTTTCTCAACAAGAACACAATCATAAAACCACAGTTTGAATCAATGCAAGTTTTGAACAATGTTTGTCTTCTCGAATCGAAACTCAAAAAGATCCAAAGAGCCGCATCCGATAACTTACAACTTTTGATTTGTGTGATGGAGAAGAAACATAAAGGGTATGCGGATTTGAAGCGAATTGGAGAAACAAACATCGGGGTTATGAGCCAATGTTGTTTGTATCAAAATCTTGCGAGATTGAGTTCTCAATTCCTTGCGAATTTGGCATTGAAAATCAATGCCAAAATCGGGGGGTGTACAGTAGCGCTGTACACCTCATTACCGGCTCAGATCCCAAGGGTTCTAACCCTTGATGAGCCGGTAATGTTTCTGGGAGCGGATGTCACGCATCCGCACCCACTTGATGATTTCAGCCCTTCAGTGGCGGCGGTTGTCGGATCGGTTAACTGGCCGGCGGCAAACAAGTACGTTTCAAAAATGAGGTCGCAGACTCACCGGCAAGAAATAATTCAAGATTTGAGTTCAATGGTGGAGGAGATATTACATGATTTTGTTCGTGAGCTTTCAAAATTACCAAAAAGATTGATTTTCTTTCGTGATGGTGTTAGCGAGACACAGTTTCATAAAGTTCTTCGTGATGAATTGCAAGCGATTCGTGATGGGTGTTCACGTTTCACCGGGTACAACCCACCGATTACATTTGTGGTGGTTCAAAAACGGCACCACACGAGGCTGTTTCTGGCGGAATCGGGCGGCGGCACCTCCCGGAATCTTTTTTCCGATGAAAACGTGCCGCCGGGTACGGTGGTGGATTCGGTTATCACCCACCCGAAAGAGTTTGATTTTTATCTTTGTAGTCATTGGGGTGTAAAGGGGACAAGTCGGCCTACACATTATCATATATTGTGGGATGAAAACGACTTCACTTCTGATGAATTTCAGAAACTGGTTTATAATCTTTGTTTCACTTTTGTGAGGTGTACTAAACCGGTGTCATTGGTGCCACCATGTTATTATGCACATTTGGCGGCTTATCGAGGGCGGTTGTATCTTGACCGGACCGTGGTGTCGCCGGGGTTCACAAGACGGGGCCCAGTGAAGACCACCCCGCTTCCTAAAGTACGGGAGAGTGTCAAAAATCTTATGTTTTATTGTTAAAGATTGGTATAGGATATGTAGATCGACTCTTAACATATATATATAACCCTTGTAGCAAGTTGGTAATTGGTAAATGTTATTAGAAGTCAAATATTATGGGTTTGATTATTGTTATTGTACGTAAAATATATGTTTTTAGTTTGTTCATGTGGATGAGATATATGATTATGTTAAGTGTTACAGACTTAGGCTAGAGGAGTGGTAACACTCTTAACACATTGCCACATCATTTTTTTGTCTTAACACCTAAATCTTAGCATTTCATAAAGAAATGGTAACACTCCTAGCATTCAATTTTTTTCTTTTTCAAAATTTATTAAATTATATAGTTTTTTAAAACAAAAACAATTAATCTTAAATAATTTTATTTTTTTAAACCACAAACAATTAATATCAAATAAATTATATTTTTTAAAACATAAACATTTCATATTTAATTAAAAAAAAGTTACAATAAGGTTTTTTTCAGGGGGTTTTGTATTAATTTTAGAAATTTATATTGTAAAAGAAATTGTAGGTTGGGGTCTAATCTGTTATAAGGCTAAAATCGAGGGACCAAAACTGCCAAATTGTGAATTCTATGTCTTCTTCCCCATTTGTCTGGTTAAAATGAACAACCAAAGCAACGCAGCAAATCTACAAAAACGAAGGTTTACTTTCACACTGTTGAAGCTTGTTATATTTTTATTAAATGGAAAGTGAAGCAAGCCAAGCCAAGCCAATCACAGCCCTTTCTTTCTTCTTTCTCTTTCTCTTTCATCTCGCCAAGATTGCAACGAGATGCATTTAGCGAGCCCCTAGCGAGCGCTAGGGGGCGGTGTTCCAGAGCCCATAGCGAGCGTAACGAATACCCATAACGAATCCACTCCGTTTAGTCTTACGGTTGCTAAAAAGTAAAAACGCATAAAAATGAACGAAAACATTCATTAATGGCTGTTAACAATCATAGTACTTTTTAAAGGACAAAATATCATTATGGTTGGAAAGAGAAATAATAATAAAAAAATAGATAAGCATCAAGACTTTAATTCTTTTTTGTTTTTTAATATGCGCAATTCGGTGTTATTTATACTAAACTATATAACTTTTGTAGTACCCTATGTTCCTTCGAGAACAAATATGATTTGATAAAAAATAATTAGACAACTACTTAATAAAACAAAATAATAATAAAAAAATAAAACTTGCTAACCATTTCAGATGCTAAATAAATAATCATATTATATTTTTAATTTTAAGAAAATATTTCATTAACTTAAATTGTTTAGAAAAATAAAAAAAATACGATTCACTTTGGAAAACTAACTCTTCAAAAATATTCTATTGTAAGAGAATAGAGAACTGTAACACTATTTTGGCATGCATGCAAAAAAAAGGCAGTGTGTTACAATGCCAGCCAAAATTACTCCCATACGTCATAAAAGCGGTACAAATAATTACATTTTGCTTTAAATTATATAAAATCTCTAAAATGTAATCAAAACTAACATAAAACAACTATTTAAACTGTTAAAAACCCCGACCCGAGAATTTACGAATTACTTTTTCAGTCACATAAAATATTTTACTACAAAAAAATATCCTTAAGTTTAATCATGAATTATAAAAAATACTCAAATTGGTGAATAGTCGTGATGATTTTATAAATTTTGTGAGCATACTAAAAATTATGACCCTTTTAAGATATCAAGTTAAAAAAAAAAAAAAAAAAAAAAAAAAAAAAAAAAAAAAAAAAAAAAAAACTCAGTTTTGAAACTTGGTTAAAACTAAATTTATTAAACAAATAAAAACAAAAGAATGAATACTTGAAGCGGTTAAGTTTTTCTTTCTTTTGAACGACAATAAATTTTATAAAAGAAAACCAACAGAAAGCTGAACAAAAGTATATAGTACCAAATACATAAGAAAACAACAAAACAAGAAGAAAATAAAATATTTGAATCAGAGCATCACTAAGGTTAAAACTAAAATTGCAAAAGATAAAAAGAACAACAAGGATGAAATCAACCCCAAAGCTAGTAGACACCAAGAAACTTGAAGAAATGAAGTGAATACACCAAGAGTCATCATTTGAGAAGAACCCCTTTCGATATCATTAAGCAAACCAACTTGTAACTTGCAAAGTGTAACTAAAGATATATGAAGCTACGTGATCTCCACCCGACAACACCAAACAAAATTTTGATAATCTCTCTTTAGGTACCATAAACATCACCAGACCAACAACACGCACAAGACTTCAACACTTATTTACACCAGCCGTAGAGTTTATCTCGACAACAACCAACACCCAAACAGAAAAATCAATCTTTGAGTTCAGATCTTTGAAAAGGCGGTACATTAAGAAAAAGAATAAAATACGCACACACGCCAAATAACTACCTAGCAACATATGTGTTAGACACAAAAGAAATTAGCCCACACGCAAGAACAAGTATACTTTTCACAGAAACCTTGACATATTAATAACCTAGAAAAATGAGACGAACACACACCAAACACACACTTCACCGTGAAAAGTAATACAACGCCAAAGGCTACCCCAAAACACCCAAAACCTTCACCCCCAAGACAATGAACATACCAAAATCAATCTCTAGTGATAAGACATTCGACCTACTTTTTCCAATCAAGTGAATTTTGGTTACTTCAATTTTTATCCATAAGAATGTGTTTGTCTTTATTTCGTTTGATCACCCAAGCTATGGATGCAATTTTATTATTAAAATTACGGTCATTTCTAGCTCTCCAGATGAACCAACAAGAGGCAAGAAATATTGCTTGAATAATTTTTCTAATTTTTAGAGGTTTACTAGATCTCTTTGGACAGTTGAACAAATCTATCACCTTTGTTACAAACGAAGTTGTAAACCACACCAGGACGAGATTTGCCCCCAAATTTGTTGTGCAACGGAATACATATCAAGTAAATGATCTGATGACTCCTCAGCAACACCATAATTTACCCAAAGGGTATTAGAAACAACCACCTTCATTCTCACCAAATCCACCTTGGTTGGAATTTTGTTTAGCGCTGCTCTCCAACCAAAAAAATTGATTTTGATCGGAGCCCAATTATCCTAATAGTGCATATAAGATTCTTGAGGTTACAAGTTTAACTCAATGGGATTATGAAGAGACTTCACCACAAATAACTGTAATACTAGTGTTCCAGGTATTTTCATATTTAGCTTGATTCATTAAAAAGTTTGCAAAGTTGGTCCCTGCGCGGCTACGCTGGGCGTACGAGATAGGTACGTCGGGCGTAGGTCATTAAAAATGATCACGGGTTTTCCTCTCGTACGTTGGGTGTACGCATGCGTACGTTGGGCGTACTCATGCAGAAGAAAAACCCTAAAATTTAGGGTTTGGAACCTATTTAAAAGACTTTCTGGCCTTAAACCCTTCCTTACCTCTAGCCTCTATTCCTTTTATCCCTCATCTCGAAACCTTAATTCTTGTGTTTGAGTTTTGAATCTCTTGAGTTATATTTTTTGTGTTCTTGGTGATGAAGGAAGACCTTTAGATAAGTGGTGTTGCGCTCAAGCTTTTGGATCAAAATTCTTCTCATCTTTGTGCATCTCCAGCAGGTATAAAGTTCAAATCTTGATGCTTGCCTTGCTAGATCTTGTTAGGTTGCAAGTTATGATCATTTGTCCCAAAAACCTTGGTCTTATGAGTATGGTATACTCCATACCATTTTAGCTGTCCTTTAAAGAATTTCTGAGTGTTTGGTGACATAAAAATGCAAGCTTGGACCTTTGTATTCATCCATGAAAGAGTTATGGAGTTTTAGATGGAAATATAAGTTAAGGTTTTGGTTTTGATCTCCCTTTTGCCATGCAAAGGCATAAAGGTTACAACTTTATCACTTTAGACGTTCGTTAGGATTAGATCTGAAGTTTGGATGTTAAGTTTTAAAGCATTAAGACCTTAATAGAGAGTTTAGACTTCTGAAGGGTACGTTTGGCGTAACCTAGAGTACGCTGTGCGTACTGGGTTGTTGCCCCGTAATCCTTCCAAGTCAAGGTAGTACGTTAGGCGTACTCCCAGAAAACCTAGTTGGGCCATTTTTGGGCCTTGGGTTGTTAGGGATTTTGGACCTTGTATCTTAGGTCATGCATGGAAAGGGCAAAATGGTCTTTTGCCCTTGGTTAGATAAAAATATGATTTTGGACCATTAATTATGGGATAAACCCTAATTATTAATTAGGGTTGTTATTGGGTTATGATTAGTGTGAGGAGCCATGTTAGCAGTAGCTTGATTGTACGATTCAATAATCTTTAGTTAGAGGTGAGTCTTCTGACTGTGCTTGTGGGTCGAAGGCACCAATATCGGCCCACTAAATTGTGTATGTATGATGTTAGTTGTTTGTGACTCCTATGTGTTTTCATGTTGGGTTGAAATAAACCCAAGGGTTGAGCCCATTATTTTATGATTGGGTTGGAAGAAACCCCATGGTTGGACCCATGAGTATATGATGAGTTGGAAGAAACCTCATGGTTAGGCTCATAATTGTGTATTGGGTTGGAATATACCCCAGGGCTAGGCCCAGTTGTATGTTTGGTATGTGGTACTTTGGAGAACTCACTAAGCTTTGTGCTTACAGTTTACGTTTATGGTTTAAGGTACTTCTGGTACGAAAGGGAAAGGCCCGGCGTGACGACACAACATTCTCCTCTCATGATTTACGCACTATTTGGATATTTATACTCTGATGTTTTGATATTGGATCTTGTATTTGACTTGGAGATATACAATGAATGAAATTAATGGTTTTAAAAACAAAATTTTATCATTGTTTTTGGGTCGTTACAATAACCTATAAACATCCCCAAGCCATCTCCACTGATCATTTTGATCATAAAGATTTATTTGATGTTATACTTCATGACCTCTCTCATTTTCTCTATGCCCTCTTAGCAACACCTTACTCTTTATCATTTTCATTTTCATCGAACTTTCGACTATCATTTTTGTATTTAACTTTTGATAATAAATACAAGATTAATTACTAAATAAATATACACTTAACTTTCGAATAAATATTAAAATAAAATCAAGATTATTAAAAATTAAAAATTTATGTTAATTTAAATTTAAATTTTCAATTTTTACAT